TATACCTTCGTTTTTCGACTTTGTAATCGAAATGATCATGAGTGGCTCCGTACTTTCAGACTTTACCGGAGTGGAAGTACTGCCAGGTGACCGACTGACAAATCTGCAGTGTGCGGACGACATGGCTCTTCTAGGATTTGATGCAGTGGCTATGCAAACACTAATGGTTGGACTGATGTGTGGCGCTGCTCGCTTCGACATGCGCTTTGCATCCTTAAAATGCAAAGTACTGTTGCAGGAATGAACCAACACACCTCTGGTTCTAGCTTTAACCGAATAGCTATTGGAAGTGGTGGATCGGTTTACTTACCTTAGTAGCTGTGTCATCTCTGGTGGTCACATCACTGAGGAAGTGACTTCGCATATCAGCAAGGCCCGTGTGCCTGTTATTGCAACAGCGCTGTCACTGTATTTCACCTTCGAACCGATCAGAAACTCGGCACTCATCTCACCATTGTTAGACTGGGACTTCTCCATCCTCTGCGCCTGAGTTGCTTTCAGGTTACGGTTGGCTGCCTTCCTGTTATCCTGTGCCTCTGGGAGATATTCGGCAAGTTGGCCACATTCCAACCTCTAGATCCGCAGGTAGGTGGGGTGCTTGGCCATACATCAATTGGAATGGTGGTTTCGTGGTGGAGGCCTGTTTAGATACTCGATGGGTCAGCAACAACAGTGGCAAAGCTTCCTTTCAATCTCCACCCTTTGTCGCTAGCCATTCTTTAATCGCTCTATTGTTACCTTCCGTCAAGCCATTTGTCTGTGGATGGTATGGGATTGTCCGCTAAGTTTCTCCAAGAAGTTTCTGGATTCCTCACTCTCGAAACACGGACCCTAATCTGTTAATATGACCTTTGAGATTCCGTGATCCGCTATCAAATGTTTCATGACGGCATGGGTAATGGTGGTCGCCCGTTGATTCGGGATTCTCGTTGCGTTAATCCCGCGCGTGAAGTGCTCCATCATCAACAAGATGTATGGGTTACCCTGCCTGGTCAATGGAAACGATCCAATCACTTCGATCGACCATAGTTCACCAATTCCCGATACCGGAATCGACACCATTGGTTGTTGTGCTCCTCGACAGTCGGTTTTCTAAAGCTGACATTGTTTGCACGAAAGCACGTATGTATCGACGTCTTTCTTCATGCCCGGCGTTGTTTCAGCAGATCGTAGGTCCTGGAACGACCGGTGTGCGCCATCTCGTGTCAAGAAATCACCAGCCTCCGCCTTAGTTTCGTCGGAATAACCGGCACCTGGTATCCACATCAGGATCCCCGCTTTGTTTACTTGTAGCTTTTCAAGATTTCTCCCAAATGGTCAGAGCTGCTTGTGTTGGCTCTTGTTTAAGACTGATTGACCGTTTATTCTCGCGGCGCAAGAGTTTATCACTACGTTGCTCGGTTACCAACTGTCCCGGATCCTGCTCCAACAGTATACCATTAGCACCGAAAACCACACTCATGCGTGACAAAAAACCAACAGTTTGGTTCTTCTTCCCCGGCACATGGTTTATCGTGAAATCGTATTCCTGTAGGCGCAGTGCCCATCGTGGTAGCTCTCACCTGAGATTTTTGGCAGACTTAAGCCATTCCAAAGGCTTGTGGTCCGTTTCGGCGTGAAATCGCAGACCTAACAGACATGGCCGCCATTTGTCTAATGCCCAGACATTTCTTCTCTATCGTTGAGTATTTGCGTTCTGCCGGTGACAAAATTCTTTTGGCGTACTCAATCGTCCCATGGTTTTGTTTCAAAACCACGCCGACTCCGACATCGCTGGCATTCATGAACAATGGGCAATTTCAGGGTCAGCTCCTGCCTTCCCATTTCCTGTAGGATGCGATCAAAGACTTGTTGGGCTTCTGCAGTCCAAGTGAATTTCTCATCCTGTTTCAGTAGCCCGTAAAATGGTGAGGCCAAATTGTTGAATTCATTGACGAAGTTGCTGTAGTACCCAGCACGGCCCAGGAACGCTCGTACAGTGCGCTTTGAGGTAGGAACTGCTGGGGTGCTTTGTATTGTCAATCTTTTCTCAGACAGTGGCTTCAACTCGTCCCACTTTATGGCCCAATAAGATGGCACACGTCTTTCCAATCTGGGACTTCGGTCCATTCATACGGAGTCTCGACTGCTGAATCTGTTCCAATACTGCTTCTAGATGACTGCTGTGCTCCGCCTCTTATTGGCTATACACCACGATATCATCCCCGTACACCGCCACGTTCTCCAAACCAATCAATGATGGAAGCATTAAACGTCGGAAGGTAAACGGGGCTTCCGATAATCCAAAAGGCATCCTTTTAAATTGTTTTTCATCGACAGTAAACGCCGTTTTTTCTCGGTCTTCTCGTTTGATAGCCAGTTGTCAGTATCCGGATCTCAGATCCAGAACCGTGAATATCCTCGACTTGCAATCTATCAAAAATGTCAGCAACTGATGGCACTGGAACTTAACCACTCAAGATTTCATTCAGCCCTCAGAAGCCCATTCAGGAACGGTAATTCCCATTCACCTTCTTCACTAAGACGACTGGATAATTGTATGGGCTGTGCGCCTCAATCACATCCGCGTCCAGCATCTCCTCTACTTGCCTCTTCACTTCAGCATCCAGACTGGTATCCTTCGGAGTCCATGGGGCCGATATGTCCAGCGGGTTAGCGGGATGGTGTGCTCGATCCGGTCGCAAAATCCATACGGACTGCTGTCATCCGTAAACAAGGGGTGATACTTGTGATCAGTGACTGCAAGATCGGGCTCAAATGTAACGCGGCAACAACTGATTGCGAAGGTATCGTTCCTCCCCGGCCAAGGAGTAGCAGCGACCCGTATCCCGTTCATAACTTCCCTCGTTTTAAATCAACGATAGACTTGTTGAACTCCAGGAAATCTGCTCCCAGTATGGTTTGTTTCGCATATGGTGACACGATAAAGACGTGCGTTAGTTTCCATCCCCCGATTCGCACGATGTTTTCGGTCATACCGTCAATGCCCACTGAGTAACCGCCAACAGCTCTCACGACCATGGAGCACGATTGAAGCTTTTCGCCTCGCCGATGGTTGATCAGCGACACTGCGGCACCCGTATCGATCAGACACCGTTCCGTCTACTTCCACCATTGCTTCGATCGCCCTTCTACTCAGCGCCCCGAGCACACATTCCTCGATCCGAGAAGAAAAACAAGGTTGAATGCGTGTATTTGATACACGGGCAGCAGCGTGCCTCATTGGACATTATCTTTTCCAGTGTCCCGGTTTTCCACCTCGCTCCTCCGAGCGCTGAGTACGAAGCCCTTTGACGTCTTCAGCGAGCTGTTCCATCATTCGTTCAAATTTATCCAACTGCTGCACACCACCATGATGTTCCTCCTTCAGTGCAGCGAGTGGTGCATCCTACAGCTCTCGAGTAATCTGCGCCAACTCCTCCAGCCGCATACATCGATTAGCGTTCGCAATCCTGACGCGTTCTGCGGTTGGCTGTGGGAGACCGGCCTCCAGTAATTGCTGTTTTGGTGGTTTGTCCAGGCCCCGTTCCAACAAGCTCCTGATGTGAATTGCAAACACGGAGATCCGCCCGTACGCCAAGCCGCGCCGCCTCCCGGCGGTCGACCGGGCTGTCCAAGCCGGACACTAACGCATCCTTCCCGGCGGCCCACTCCAACTTGACAGGGCCTCTTTGTACCGTCTCTAGGACTGCCTTCGCCCTTCTCTTGAGAAGCTTCCGCTGGGCCACCAGCTTCGCCCGGCCGGTCTTGACTCCATCCGCCTCCGCCACATCCTCGAAGTCCTCCAAGGTCCTCACATCCCCTTCTTCTAACGGCTCTGGCCAGGGGATCTTCATGATGCACCATGGTTGGTCACGGCACCAATGTCACCCGAGATACAGGCGGAATTGTATATTGTGCAAACATAGCTAGTACTAAACGCATCCGTTCGGACAAAAGAAGCATCCACCCATCGTCATCCCGTTTGGAGATTGCATAGCGCGGATTTCTTTCTGTGTCTAGAAGGTATGTGGTGTGCATTGCTTATACGTCCACTCCTATTGGACATACAACTGCGGTTCCAAAGTGTTCCTGTGCTTTGGGTGAGTCATAACGGCCTGCTGTTGGTTGGTTGCCATTCCGCATCCTTTCACCACACTACTGATAACTGTCGTTAGTCCACCACACAGCTACGAGCATATGGTTTCTGTAGGCTTGAAATGCCTTCGTGAACTTGATGTCTGTCGCATCAGAAGGGGATTCCCCTCGCTATAAAATTTCGTGTGTACAAGGCCACAGTGAAGACCGTCCTACTCTATTGAAGGCCGATTTCGTCTTTGATCATCGCTGTCTACGCGGCATTGCTGCTGTCGAATGGCACCTGCGAATCCGCAACCGTGATGTGCGTAGGTGCACGAAGCGGTGATAATCAGGCCAACTCCATAGAGAAAATAAGGTTAAACAAGTTGTGTTGCCTTAAGTACGTGTATCCGGTCATCACTTACCGAGGAGTGCTTTGTTTTGTTTGCTAGATGTAGGGTGACGCAAGGCCCGCAATGGACAAAATTTGACTTGTCACCGACAACTGAACTGGGTGCTCGTCGTACGTCTCGCTTTCCAGGACGGAGTCTACGTGACCCGCCTTGTGCTCAGCTTGAGACGTTATAGGACATGGCTCACAGCCGGCATCGTTGATGTGTCTGCTGTCGTCTCCTAGTCGGATTGCCTATTTCAAGTGTGTTTGGTGCTGAGTTATCTGTGGAGTAATGGCTGATATTTTAAGGGTCGAGTTCGCTGTCTCACCATTACCACCTAATCTTCGCACGATAGCCAGCTGTTTGTGACCGTGTGTTGATGACAAAATGTGGGCTTCTTGACCCTGGCTGTTTGATTAAGGCCTTCAACCTTTACGCTAGTTTCCCTTTCTCTCACCCTTGGTATTCGTCATTCCTTAGGTTGTGTTTCTGAAGAAGTAAAGTTAGTTTTCGTTGCAACCTGCCACGCCAGTATTCTGAGCATACTTTCTGTATTGGTGGTTCATGGCTGTCCGGTTTTTGTTTACTAGTGGCTGTGTCAGCTAAACGGCGCTTCGCTGACGTGCGACCACCACGTCGCATGCGGGCTATGTATACCGCGATGACGCTCACCGCTACGCGGATTCGAACCCGCACCACAAGATTACGAGACAAGCTCGTTACGTCTAGGCTACGGTTACGAACGTATCCACTGCAATCTGTTGGCATATCGGATTGAGTCAAATCGTGCAGGCAATCAGCCGCCTGTTGTCATAATGTTAAACAATTATTTCGCCTCCCCAGCTTAACAGGGTCCTACTATAAAACTCCCAGCCAATTTTAGTACGACAGCTACTGGACAGCTGGAAATTAAATCAAGATTCATGGGGTTCCATCGTCTACTGGCACTGCTGTAAATGTGCACTGAGGTGTTTCGACAGAATGTCAAAACGGCTCCAGCGGACGTTGGAAGGGGGGGACGAACATTTTGCCTCTCCGCAAAGCCACACGTTCACACACTAAATTGCCACGCATTAAATGCCTTGTTATTTCAGGTAGAAGAGAACGAAGCAGTGGTCGAATATGCCCTCAGAAAACGACCTATCAACATTGTTGAAACAAAGTTGTTTGGTGAAAAAGGTTATCAAAAGTGAGTTTCTGTAATCACTAAATTGTAAACACATTTTAGTTTCAAAGGATTCCACTTTCACCCTACGATGGAGCTCACAAGGAGATATTATCCCCACAAACACAATGTGGACGGCTTCTTTGTCGCTAAACTGAAAAAAGTGGGATGACAGTTGTACATACACATGTATTTACATATAAAATAAATGCGTAAAATAATAGACTTGTGCATCTTACAAATGACGCTGTTGTTCGCGCAGTTTTTCGAAAAATGATCGTACCTCAGCCTCCGTGATTATCTGAGTGGGATGAAAAAATATTGTCACAGTAAGAAACAGAATATGAAATCAGTCTGTTGCGGATGAAATCAAATGTGAAGTAGCTGCTCATTTGCGACTTTCAGTGTTTTGAGCCCAAGGCGATTTAACGCTTGTTTGTCCGACGGCATGGCCATCTCACGAAGTGCTAACCCCGCTGATAGAGCCACACGGATATATATTATAGCTAAAGTTATTTGAAGTGTATTTGCTTACAGTTCTGCGACAACGGTCAGATCACAATTGAACGAAGTGCACTCATCCGACTTATTACGGAATACGACTGTGCTAGTTTCCACAAGTAAATTCCTGGAAGCGTCTGCTTTGAGGGCACACATCTACTCATCATGTCGGGCACGTAACTCAAAATGAAGAACAGAGACGATTTTTGTGGGGTCAATATATCAGAGATATTAGATAGACGTCGATATTTCTTATGTGGATCCAATGACTTACATGGCCCGATTCGCGCTTTTGTGATAGAAATTCCTCCAAAGCTTTTTTCAGTTGACCTAGACCTGGTGGGCATAAGAAAAGAATAAATCAGGCTTAAACAAGATGTTGCATTATTTGGGTAAGACGCGGAGGAGTACAATGCCTGCGTAAACTACCCATCAGCTTCCAAAACTAGCCTCGACACCGCTTCGTTAGGTGTCAGCGAAAAAAACCGTTGTTGTCACTTATTTTCGAAGTTATGTGCAAACAGGAATCGTATTTGGCACTAGGTGCCACAAAACGGATAAGTTTCAGCGAATCCGTAGGCAAAACAAACTAAGCAGTGGAAAGATCTCGGAGTATGGAAAATAAACTCAAGAGAGCAAACTAACCTTCTGCTACATTTATCGCGACAGAGTGAGGCAGTTCTGAAAGCGCCTCGGACAGAGCTTCGTTCTCCTCCTTATCGATCTCGATTGCTCTTTTCTCACCGGTTCTCAGGTAGTAGGACATGGTATCTTGGGGGTCCATAAGATACTCTAGTTTGTAGTGCGCATACATAGTCTGAAACCGATCATAAACATTTAGTAGACTCAAATCGAGTAATAGTCAATAATCTATTTCCTATAGGTGATGAAAAACACGAATACTCGGAGAGGCTAACCTAGCCTGTCTTCCGGAGCCAGGCGTTTGCGCTATTTGATGATTTTGCACAGGTGCAAGCTCTTTACAGCGATATTTGTTGTCACATCACAATTGATGGTGCGTTGTTAGTTTATGGGGTAAACTTCGAATGGTGAGTTGAGCTAATCTAGTTAAATGTGATCCGAGCGCCGGATGGCCGTCCGTCCAGCTGCCACGACTCAGCGTAAGTGTGCAAGTACAAAGAAAATCGAGTAAGTTTAATCGGGATGAAATGTTAACAAACAGATGAAACTGAATGTAGGAGCACGACTGACACTGAATACTGTTGTGGGAGCAAGTAGAAATTTGAATCTGTACAACTCCATCGAAATATGATCAAAAACGTTAAAAAAGCAAACTATGACTTATCAATACGTTGATCTTTTTTCACATTCTATCGTTAGAAAATCCTTTAATTCACAGTAGATTAGGACTCAAAAATTCGAGATGCCTGTGGGTATTCGTTCTCGGAATATAATATATAAGAAATGCACATCCAATGACCGTTTGAACTGCTGCACTGAGTTCGCTTCAACTATATGTTCCGGCAAACCATTCCAGACATTTACTACTCGCCGTTCCAAGGACAGAGGATGAAGAACTCGCTACAGATCTGGAAGCACAAGCTTGTATCGGTGTCTGCGTGTCTTGCAAGCCGTTCGCAAGTGGAGCAGTGGCTTTGGCATGGGGAAGTCGCTTACATGTAGAATCCGGTAGGTCATGATGAGGTCGACACGTAACCGACGGTATGCCAGGATGAAGAGACTTAGTCTCTCGCACCTGTCCTCGTAAGCTAATCCTCGCAAACTGGGGATGAGCCTATTAGTGATGTGTAGAACCTGTCCAATCTTATGCGCCTCGCCGCGAGTGGTCCCGCAATAGGTGGGCGAGCCGTACTCTAGCATTGGTCTGATGATGGAGGAGAAGGGGCGATGGGTAACCTCTTCAGACCAAATACAGCAATTACGTTTGTGTGCCCAAACCATGCGCAGTCCGTTACGATATAGCCTATTCGTGTTGTCATCGGATTTCAACTCGCAACGTGCGAGTACTCCCAGGTCCTCCACAGAGGGTATGGGGTGTATCTGTTGGTCGTCGAGAGTGTAAGTGCGGCCCTCACCACCCTTACCCCAGCTCATGGATTCAGACTTGAATGGGTTGACCTTGAGGCGGTCTTCTGCTGATCTCACGGAAAGACGGTTTAGGTCTTTTTGTTGTAAGCCGCAGTCGTCGAGTGTGCTTATCACTCTCCATATCTTCAGGTCGTCTGCAAACAGCGCACCCGGTGACCGAAGAAGCTGAGGTAGGTTATTGATGTAAATCAGGAACAATGTAGACCCCAGCATCGTGTCTTGGGGTACGCCACTGGTCGAAGGATACCAATCGGTCAGGTGGCTATCGAGCTGTACCCTCCACTTTCGACCAACAAGAAGTCTTGCATTCACTGGTGCAGAGATCCACCAAAACCACAGACACTCAGCTTTAGAAGGAGGGCCTCATGGTTCATCTTGTCGAACACTTTGCTGAAATCAATGTAGATCACATCGACAGACTTCCTTTGGTTTACTGCTTGCATCCATTCATGCCTCATCACGAGCAGGTTGCTGATGCATGAACGACCTGGCGTGAAACCGTGCTGTGTGGACGTCAGGAGATCTTTTGACCGGAACAGCTGTAGCCAACGTTTCTTCACAATCTTCTCTGCAACCTTGGCCAAAATAGGTGTCAAACGAATTGGCCTGTAGTTGTCTACTTTGCTGCGGTAACCGCCTTTCGGAATCGGCCTTACCACTGAGTATTTCCAATCAATCGGCAATATGCCTTCGGAAGACCTGTTGAACAGGTCAGTTAGGGCAGGCGAGATGGTGGTTGATAAGCATTTGAGAATCAGGAGGTGGAGCCCGTCTGGCTCAGCAGGCTTGGTGCCGTCAAGATTGTCGAGTAGTTGATGCACCTCTTCCACACCACAATCCAGACTACCGAGTTCGGTAAGGGTGGTGCACGCCGAACTCGGTACAAACACCTGTTCATTTGCAAACACAGAAGCAAAGTGAGCCGCCAATGCGGAAGCACGTTCAGTACTGGACGTTAGGGGTTGTCCGTTCTAGGCCTCAGGTGCCGCTTCACGTATGCCAAGATTTTTTGAGGCAGTTTTTACTGCGGATGCAAGCGGACACGCCATATCAGGCAAGGTTTCGAGCCATTATGTGACTAACGCCGACGCAGTCAACTAAAGGGTGGCAAGGACCAACCTGACCAAGCCCCTTAATCACTTGCTGCTAAGTTATTGACCTGCCACACCGCCGTTTTGCCCTAATAGGCCAACATCATCAACTGTTGCTTCGCTGTCGTATAACTACAATAACCTTTGCGCGAAAATCGAGACATTAGTCCCCAAAGTCCTCATGGGTATCTTTCTTCAACGACTTACTGGTCTCCGTGAGAGCCGAATCATTGAAAGTCATGGTCGGTTGCAACAACCACAAATTTACTCTCCTGAAGACGCTTTCCTGAGCTTCCTACGACAAGTGGGATTCGTCAAGGTTGCTCTATTTCTTCTCTCTTCTTCAACTTTGCGATCAAAGTGATCAGCCGGTTGCACTGGCTAGGTCGTCTTCTGTATGCCGGTTGAGCACATTCCTCGATGTGCATTGTATTCTGTCACTGTATCACGCTATTGTGTGCCGCTTACGTGGATGGAGGCTTCGAGATGGTTCACGTGTTGTTGGAGACTTTATAGGACATGCTGCAGTCGCGCCGTCAGTGGCTCCTTTACGTTCCGCTACTTTCATCTAGCCGTTAATATTCGTTCCATCCCAGTCAGTTTCAAGCATTTCTTAACTCGATTTGCGTTCAACTTCACTTTTCTACCGTTGTTAATCTGGCGAACTGAGCTATGGCAAACGGATCCACCGCACTTCAGTGTCCAGATCACACTGTAACTGAAGTGAGCTGGTTCACACCCTCGACCGGAGCGGAAATCACTGTAGCGTGGTTCTCTAATCGGTGTTAGTCTGCGGAGTAGTATGGATGTTATCAACTTGGAGGGAACGAATCCAGACGACTGTCAATGGAACCGCTTCCTAACGCCAACTCCTTGGAAAACAGAGCTGTTAACTGATTGATGATTGCTCCTCCACTGTAAATGTGCAGCTTCAGAGGAATTCCGTCCGAGCTGGTAGTCTTGAATGGTTTCAAGCATCGAAGCTTAAGGTAGACTTCAGATTCGGTTGGCGGTTCCAATAAAACGTGCAAGAACTTCCGATAGGTTTAGAGTATACTAGGTGAACAGAGGAGGCAAGCCGAGTTGCCAGTGAAGGTGCCTAGCTTACCAATTCATACATCTATGCAAGTTTGCCATCAGTGTTCCATCAGCCTAAAGTAGCCTATTTCACACCAGGTCTTTTGGGAATAGTGGTTCCGAATGATATGAAAAGGCTTGCGAAAGTTTCAGGAAACAGCCACTGTTCTTATCTGAAACGTGTTGAAGCCACCAGATTTCGCGACCATTACGCAGACTTTGCTTAACTTGTTGGCTGAGGTTACGGCGTAATTCACTGTGGTTTGAATCAGCCTGGTGATGGCCGAACATTTCCATTGAACGAGTGGAAATCGAGCCTTTCAGACAGCAACAAATGATCGCACAGATAGATTGGAAGGATCACTTTCTGCTAGGAGCTCCAATGGTACCCGACATCTTGCGTTGGAGCAATGGTGAACGCACATGTAAGGAAGACTGGCGACTTATCTGTATCGAAGCATTAGCTAGTTTCCTGGTATCAATCACATGGTATTTGGGCTTCGAGTAGTGTATGCAGATAGCGCGGATTAGCGTGATCTGAGTTGGTGTAATTGGACCAAATCAATCGTCAATGGCATACTGCGGATAAAAAAGCCGAAGCTTGACATTTCTTACAGGATGGTGGATGCGTTTTCCAAAGAAGATAGCAACAAAAAACAGCGAAACCGATAAGTGAATTTGTTGAGCAAAGTTTTGTCGAACCTAATCGTCACCATTGTTGGTGACGTCTTGGGGCAAATCCATGATTTATTTATCTAAGGAGTTGCATCACGGCTGGTGGCGGTGTGGAAAATTAGGTCTCACAACGAATCACAAAAGCCTGACCTGATGAAACTTAGAATTCTACCGGCGTCGTCGTGATGTAAATCTCAAACTCAAATATACAGTGTGAAATGCCTTCGTCCGTGCGGTCCTCTTGTATGGCTGTGAGGACATGAAATCACTGTCAGTTCTTAACAATCGTTGAGTGCGAACGATTGCTCATGTGTGGTGGAAACACCACGTAAACAACACAGAAGTCCGACTCCAAGTTCTTGGGAGAAACGACCCATGCCTCCAAAGCATTATTCTCTGACACCGCATGCGTCGGCTCAGCTACGTATGGTGCATTCCAGCCTATCGCCTTCGTTGTCGAGCATTATTTTCGCTTCCTGCAGATGAGCAGAAAAAGTGCCGCGGTGGACAACCAGTGACGTGAATAAGAACCATGAAGAAGGCAGTCTCAAGATTAACATCCGTCGGACCGGTCCGCCTTCCAGGCTGGGGACCACATGACACTGAATCCCAGTGGTTGGATGCTATGGTCCGCAACAGACATCAGTGGTGCAATGTTGTTTCGCCGCATTAGCTATTAGCTAATCGAACATATAAAACTCTAAAACAAAAACACTCAAAACGGCGTGCGTAATATTCCCGAAAATTTTTTTGCTAGTGTATTTTGATCTGCAGCTTTTTTCTTTCATGATTGTGATAGCACATTGTTCGCAACCACGGCCACCGGCCGAGTGGTCTGCACGTCTAGCTTGCAATCATAAGGTCATCGGTTCGAATCGGCGTAGGAGCGGGCGTCCGCACGGTA